TTTTTTTTGTTCTAAGTGAAGGGATCCCAAAAGACGTCATTTTACTCTAAAACAAAAGTGCTTATCGAGTGAAATACTAGGTAAACATGAAATAATAATACAATAGAAAGTTGAAGCGCCTCTATTTTGCCGACGTTGTCGCATGCGTTGCCGTCCTGCAGCTTAAGGTCCCTATTAGTAACGGCTGGACGCTAAGGGTGGTCACTGCCAGTGTTTCTTTACTTCCTCAGTTATTCTTTTACGTCCCTCCGATGAGGTAGTGTGGATAGATGGGACCGCCATTTTACGTGGCCATCCGCTGTGGCCACGTGAAGGTCTAGCCATTTGTAGGTGTTATTACAAAGGCAGCACCTTCAGCTCAGTTATTTTAAGATACTGGCGGTCAAAATTATATGATCCAATCACATTTSAGATAAGAAAATAGAATAATCATTGGCAATATATTATTTTGCTTGATTTTAATTTTAATTCCCGCAAACCTCAATAAATAAATTAGTGCTTCATCAGGGTAAGCAAACAGATATCACCAAGGTTACTTGCCTGGTGATGGGTCATCAATCTCAACATCTGGTACCCCACAACGTTTACGTTTCATTTCATTCATTGTTGCATTGTCTAGATGACCAGTGACTGGAAGGTGCATGAAACGTTGGAATGTTTCCACGGCTGTTTTAAAGTCGTGGTTCCCAGTGGTATGATGAGATATATAGTTATAATTTTTCAGAAAATTCTGCAACAACCAATTAAAACAATTATGCTGATGATGATGATATTAATTAACCCTATACAACCACTTAATAGTTCAGCTTATTTGATTCTCAATCTATATAACTGACCTAAATAAACTATGAACCATTAGTCCCAACAATAAAATTTATATAGTTCAACGATTCAGAAACACCAATTAACAACAACATTATACATACAAAAACAACAACAACAGCAATATCATCATCATGATCGACAACCGAAACTACATGTACAGAAACTACACCAAGTAAAACCTCAAAAATATAACTATAGAGATCACTAACAACAATATTTATTTGTCAAAACAACAACAACAATACATACAACATCATCATCATCATCATCATCATCAACAACAACAACCGGAACTACAGGAACAACAATAATATTAATATTTGGCAACAGTAAAATCAGGAACACTRCCACTACTAACAACAACAATGATGTGGAGTTACTTACAACAACAGCAATTATCCTCTGTAAAAACACTATCACTACTAACAACAACAATGATGTGG